CGCCCCCCCAGCCACTCAGTGCCAAGGGTTTATCAGCAGCCGAGGAGGAGGAGGAGGAAGAGGAGGAGGAGGCCGGGCCCCCAAACAGCTGTGTCAGGCTGCCCTGGCTCCCAGACAGCCCTGTGGCCCGAGGACCCAGGAAGCTAGGGAGGGATGGTGCCCCGCGAGGTTTGGGCAGCACTGGCTTGAAGGCTGTTGGGCGGATCAGGATTTTCTCCATGTTCTGAAATGAGGTGCCATGTGACACAGGGTGAGCTGCCCGATCCTGCAAAGCCACGCACACTCCCTGCCCTCCCATCTGGGGTCCCCAGTCGTTTGGGAACAATTGCCGCCACTGGCAGAGGGCCTCCGGAGAGACGGCTTTACGGCAAGGAATGGAAAGTGTCGCCTCTAATCATCCATAGCTACACAAGCAAAATATGACCAGCCCCCTGCTCGGAGGAGGACTGAGGCTCAGCAAGGTTAGAGGCCTTGCCCAAAGTCAGGCCCACACCTGCCGCATGGTCATTTGAGCAAGTGGTGTGTACTGAGAGCGTGTTACAACGGACCAAAGTTAAGCCTTATTTGATCTGATTCTCACAATTGCCCTAGAGGGCTGACCTATTACCTCCCTCTCACAGACTCTGAAGTGGAGGCTCACACAGGCTAACATGACCCTGAGGTTGCAGCCAGAATGAGGCAGAGCTGGAATGAGAGCCCAGGTCTGGTGACTCTGGAGGCCACGCTCTTTACTCTACACAGGATTCTGATTTCCAGCTTCCCGGGGGGCTTCTGATCCCACCAGGGCCCCAAGGAAAGGTCCTCACCTTCTCCAGCTTTCCAGAGACAGGGATGAGCTTTGGTGGGGGGCCGCGGAGGTGGGCATTACGCGCTCGCTGCTCTCGGGCATCTTCAACATCACTGCTGGGGCTGGGCGGTGACTCTGTCCGGAAGTCCTCATTGACGTAGGTGAAGCTGGTGCCAGGGACAGCCTTCCTGGGGGGCACGGCTGGGCACAGTGGCTCTCGTGCCTCATAGCCACCCCGCAGCAGCCCATCCTGCTGGCGGAAGAAGGGAGGCCCTGGGGGACCGTGGTGGCGAGGAGGAGCTGGCCCTCCTGGGCAGGGCCGACCCGAGATGAGGCTGCTCACGCTGCCCATGGTGGGGGCCTGTGGGGCGGTGGTGGCCTCAGGAGCGGGCTCCAGCGGCACTGGCAGAGTCTGCACAATGGCCATGGCAGCGGGGGCTCAGGCCTGGCCAGGGGCCTGCAGGGCAACCTGTGAGAAGAATAGCAGTGTCAGCATCTCCCTGAGCAAGGCTCTGCACCCCCCTCGTGACCCTGACTCCGGCAAACACCTGCTCACATCAGTAACAAGCTCGGATCCACCGCAAGCTTCCCCTCCAAGCACGGACGTGAGTCCCTCGGGCTCCACACCACCCTCCGACGCCACACTGAACAAGGTCAAGGACTGGGTCCATGAGCAACGGTGATGAGGGGCTGCAGGCAGTCCAGGGGGTTACAAAAGGGCACTTGGCTGCCAAGCTCTGGCTCAGCCCAAACCTGCATCCCCCCACAAGAGGCCAGGACTCGGGTTAGAAAGGGGGCCCTCTCTACCAGCTCCCTGCATGGGTCTCTGGTCCCCTGGGACAGGTGGCCTCATTACAGGGCAGTTTAGGACGAGGTAACTCAGATGGTAATTAAGAACAAAGGGCCAAGGCCAGGAGTGTCCTGCCTCCCCCTGCTGGGCCTCAGTTTCTCCTAGACAGAGAGGCGGCAAGTGTGGAACTGGCCGAACAAGAAACCCACAGCTCTCAGGAAGCCCGCAGGTGCCTGTGGGGTCTCCCGCCTCCCAGAGGTGGACACAGCCTCCTGTTTATTTCCATGACCTCGCCTAGCCTCTCCCAGCCCAGCTGTGGGGCCTAAGGCAGTCTACGCAGGCCCTGCCCTGCTGCTACCTCTACCAAATCTTCTAGCTGCTTTAGCTTTTTCTTTTAAATTTTGCTACAGGGTGTGTGCACTTGCTGGAAAGAGATGGACCAGCAGCTGGCGTAACGTCTATGTTGCTGGACCCCCATGTAGTCGACTGCCGTTTGAGTCCCAGACCTGGTGGCTTAAACACATGCCAGGCGCATGTGCGTGCGACCCCAAGATCCCAAGGGGAATGGAGGAGAAGGGACTGCGGCGTGGCTAGCTCCTCTGGGGGGTGTGTGTGTGTGATTTCTTGCTTTCTATGTCTCTTGACTCTTTCTGGCGAGTGCACATGCCCTATAGCAAAAACCTGAAAAAAAAAAAAAAGAGAAGGAGCGGGGCGTGGCAATGCACTGCCGGGGGTGGGGGGTGGGGTGGGGCGGGAATGGAATGACCACGCTGCAATCCCTTCTCCTCCATTTTCCTCTCAGGACTTTGGGCACACACAATCACGTGCCCAGTGTGTGTTGTCAAGCCACCAGGCTGACAAACTGCGCCGCTGGCCAGCGCCTTCATCATATCACCTGGCTGGCCTTCCTTTTTGTTGTTGTTTGATTTATCTATTTTTATTAGGGCCTCTCTCTGTTGAGGCCTCAGCCTCCCAGTCAGCAGGGACGATAGATGTGTCCTGTAGGGTCTGTCGCCCACACTGCTGTGAGCTCCCCTCTCTCCTGTCTCATCCTCCTGCGCCTGGGGCACTTTCTCCAAGGGTGAGCCCGGTACTCCAACCTGGGTCTTCGTGTGGCCTCAGCCTGCCAAGCAGCAGTGTAGATCAGCAAGCACGACCACAGCTGGGCCACCTTCCAGCTTTCCATGCTGGGGCTGTCCGGGGCCACCCCCAGGGGTACCAGTAAAAGGCCCACCGTTACCTCTGGCGGCAACACCAAGACCTTCCTTCCCTGGAGCCCAGGCAAGAAGGCTCCGCCTCCCCAGGCCCTTCTTCTTCCTGGGAGGGACAGCAGGCCTCCACCGGAACACCCTCCCCGGTCCTGAGGCCCCTGATGACCAGGACTTAGGCATCTGCTGAAGTCATCAGGCAAGTGGGGCCAAGAAGTGGACAGAGAATGGTGTGGGAGCAGGAGTGTGTGTGTTTGCTTGTGTGTGTGGTTTACCTGCACGGAGTGTGAAAACGCACAGAGTGTGCTACAAAATGTGCATGAAAACATCTCGAATGAGCCCATGCAGTTTGGACAGTACATTCACGTACATGTGTGAGCTCTTATGTGGCTCTCAGAGGATGTGTGTAAACAAAGGGTCACTACTGAGGGTGTGGAGCTGTAAGTGCATGCGTACATGTGGCGTAGGCATGTGGACGTACAGGAGTCTGTACAGATGTATCAGTGAGTTTACGTGGACCTCCCCTGCACACACGAGTGTGCATGAGTATGTGTGGAGCTGCGTGTGGACTTGGGCACGAGTGGGAGTTGGGGGGAGCCTGTTCTTCACTCTGGAGTGGGGGAGAGGGGACACATTTTCTGACCCTTCCCCTGACCTGCTCTCCTTCCTTGCTTGCGCTCCAGTAAGTCCACCCCTCCTCCCCATGGGACCCCGTGGCACTGAGAACCAGGAAGGTCTTGGGACTGGGAGAGGAGGTGCTGGAAACGGAGGGCTGCGGCTGAGAGCACCCCACAAGCCCAGTCCTGAGCAAAGCAGAGTCCCCTCTTCTCTGCCCTCTCTGGAACCACTCCAGGGCGCAGAGAGCGGTGAGGAAGGGGGCCAGGGTTGCCCTTCGTATTTCCGCACTTCAGTGAGCACACAGAAAGCGAGACCTGGAGTGAGCAGACAGACAGACAGACAGGGAGACGGCACAGGGGCCCAGAGAGGGACAAAGACTCCACAGGGTCTGGAGGGTCAGGCAGGCACCGAGACAGGCAGACCTAGGGAGTCAGGGTCCCTGAACCCCATGGAGCCAAGGGCCCCTAAATGCGGAGTCCCATAAAGCCGAGCCCTGAGAGCCAGACACCCAAGGAGTCAGAGCCAGGCTGGCCAGCCTGGCCGGCGGCCGGGCTCCCGCTCTTGGAGCCCGGGAGAGAAGGAGGGGCAAGTGGAGGCTCCATTTTGAGAAATGCGTTGGTGGCTGTGGGAAAGGCGAACCCCCCATTTCCCCCAGGACTCCCTGGCAGAGAACCCCCTCCCCACAGTGGGCTGTGGGCAGCCGAGGGCTGGGGAACAGCCAGGGCTCGAGAGGGGCTGGCCGAGGTCCCAGCTCTCAGACCTGTTTGGGGGCTAAGAGTTGGGGGAAAGTCTCCCCCTACTCAAACTCCAAGGACCAGCCAAGCGCGATCGAGTCTGCGACCACGAGTTCCCATTCCATAACACGAAGCCGGGAGCCCCCAACCCACTCTCAAGAGTCCAGCCCCCTTCCATAAAGTGGGGCAGCTGTGGAATGCTGCTCCCCCCACAACACCGCGCAGGAGTTGGGGCGCCCCAGGTCGCCTCCCAGCCCCGGCCCCCCCTCACCTCCGCCGCGCTGCTCCATGCTCGGCCCCGGGCCGCCCCCGAGGGCTCCACAGGCGCGCCGCCCGGCTCCAGCCCGCGCGCGGCCACTCCGTGAGGGGCGTCCCCGCCCCCGGGGGCGCGGACACGCGCAAGCACCCCACGTCACGCGTGTGTCCTCCCGGGGCGCACGCAGGGGCCGGCCCGCGGCGATCACGGTCCCTCCATCCGAGGCCCGGTGACTGGGTGTCTGGGAGCACGGTCAGCTCGGGACTCG